CCCCCCGCCCACCCCGGCCTCCCTCCTTCCATCCATCCTCCACCTCCTTCAACTCTCACGCTCTGTGGTTCAGGGGGCTGCATGCTCACTGTCCCGAAACAAGATGAACCAGTCGCTCTCTCTCTTGTCCCTCAGCCACATGCAACCGCATCATCATCATCATCATCATCTGCAGCAGCAGTAGTAACAGTAAAAGAAGAGGAAGAGGAGGAGGAGGATGAAGACGATGTGAAAAAAGGCAGCAACTCCATCGAGCAAAAGTTCTCCTTTGACTCCACGCTGAAGACAACTTAAGAATACGTCGACTTCTTGCGGTCGGCAGGATCGTGACGGTGTGGAGCAGCCGCGGTCCTCGCCCCCTCCCTATTTTCCCCCCCTCCCGTTTGTCCACATTTTGCCTCCCAAGTCAGCGGGATTTCCTCAACCTCTCCCGACTGTGTTATGAACCTCGGAGACGCACTTGACCCCCGCCCCAGAAGACTTCTTGGGCAAGAACAAAAAGGGATTAACGCGAAACTCTCTCACTCTGCCTTGGTGAGTATTTATTTCTTTATTTTGGATCGATTTCTTCGTCTTGGGCAACTCTGAAGCGATTAATAATGCACTTCTTTGATGACTGCTCAAAGGCTTTGACTTTGACCTGGATTTGACAGGAAATAGCAGCGCAAGTGCATGTCTGAAGAGTCTTGGCAGCATGGATTATTAATGTGCACTTTTACCTCATTGAACACTGACGGAAAGTGTAGAAACATTCCCTTCGAGTTTCCATTCCTGTGGTATGTTTTTAAATTTGTGTGTGTGTGTGTGTGTGTGTGTGTGTGTGTGTGTGTGTATATATATATATACCTTTTCCTTTGGAACACCTGCTTGTATCTTCTATATATTTTTGACCATTTAAAAAGTGCCGATCCCTGCAGGGGCTCTTTGCACCCTATTTAATCTATTTTATTGAACTGAATGAAGTAAATGTTTCCCTGAAAGGGCAGAGAATAACACAAAGTATGCAATAACTTCAATATATATCAATATACTTGACATCTGCTATTTAAAAAAAAAACTGATGAATGTAATGAGGTTATTCATATATGCATGTTGTGAGGCAGGAACAGAAGAGCCGGAGGCACAAACTCGGCCAGTAGACACACACAGACAGATTCATATTTAGAAAGTGAGTCAGAGGACACTGTCGTTTCTGCGATGGTACATGAATAAAACCTTCCATCGCATGAACTAAATGGTACATACTTAAATATTCCTTGAAGTGGGTGCTAATGCCATGTCCTTGTGCACTTCAAGTGCATGACTTGGCAGCTACACGGGCAAAGCGCCCCCATTTATTTATTTTATTTTTTTTATTTATTTATTTTTTTACGTGATGACAAGATTGAATGGAGATGCCGTGCATCGAAACCAAAAGCTAAAAAGCTAAGCAGAGCTGCAGTGTTGTTGGATGCAGAGATTAAGGCTGAGTAACCCCGCCGCACACTGAGCAATGCGGCTGAACTATACGCACAAACAAACCTAAGATTACACCATGGCTATTTAAATTTTATTTAATTAGGTCATTACTCATTGTTTTTTAATACAATGCATTATAGAGTACTATATTTCTCCAAAAAAAAAAAAAAACACATTTGGGGCGGGGCAGGACTTATTGGTATTTTCATTCATTCTCTTGCAGGACACACACATACACAAAAAGCAAACAAAAAACCACCAACAGGTTAGTTTCCACTGTAAAGTAAAGCCTCCATGCTGAAACAAGCATACGGTTTGTACAAATAAATGCCTCATTTGCCTTATACTCTCTGCATTTGAGTCATTAAATGCCACCAAGCAACTGGAGGACATACAGCACGTGTATTTCACATTGCACGCAAATACGCTTTGACGTCAAAACATCTTCGCTTCTCCTCCGGTGCACAGAATGCGTTTCTCAGGTGCTCTTCTACATTGCCTTTGACGTCAAAACATCTTCGCTTCTCCTCCGGTGGGTGCACAGAATGTGTTTCTCAGGTGCTCTTCTACATTGTCGCATACTACTGTGGGCACAAGTGCTCACTATGGGTCAGTAGGCTGGCTGCAAGATGCAATAACCAATGTGCCAGATACCTCTGGGCTTCTTTGTGTGTCATACACGCGTGCACACACACACACACACACACACACACGCACATTCAACTCATCCCCTTTTTAATCTCTTCTTTTCGGTCTCTCATCTTCCGACCTCCCCTTTGCACAAATGCCAAACATACGCGATCGGCGCTCAGGTTTGTTGTCCCTCAGCCCAAGTGGAGAGAAGGTTATTAAGCATGGCATCCCTGCTGCAGGAGAGGAGCAACGGGATGACGACAGAAGATGTAGAATTCTATCACTTCAGCTTGACTTTGAAGGAAATTTAAGAATTACTCATTCAGATGGCCCGAGTGCAATATTGATGCTGTCGGGATGTCATGAGGATGAATCGAGTTCTTTTTGTGGCGTGGATTCATAATCTGACGAGGCACAGTTTTTCCACTGATATGAAGATCATACAATTAGAGTCGAGGGGAACTGTTAAGAATACAGGGCAGGTGTAAGGTAAGTGGTTCTGATATCATTGCGCCCCATAGCCCAAAATCTCACACTGTTTCTCGACAAGAAAATACAGTGAAGACAACCAATTGGTCCTACATTATCAAGGCGAATGTTTTATTTTGTCGTCTGTATTTATAATTTTCTTCAGCAAAGGAAAAACCGTTTTATGTGATAGATTTTTTTTTTTTAATAGAATTTTTAATAGACTACTCAAGAGCGACACACGGTGGTCGAGTGGTACATCCAGCTTCACAGTGCCGAGGTCATGGGTTCAATTCCGGGGCTCCGGCCTTCCTGTGTGGAGTTTACATGTTCTCCCGGTGTCCGGGTGGGTTTTCTCCGGGTATTTCGGTTTACTCCCAAACTCCAAAAAACACGCATGGCAGGTGAACGGAACACTCTAAATTGTTCCTAAATGTGAGTGTGAGTGTGAGCGCGGATGACTGTTTGTCTATGTGTGCCCTGCGATTGGCTGCCAACCGGTTCAGGGTGTCCCCTGCCTACTACCCGAAGTCAGCTGTGATTGGCTCCATCACACCCGCAAACCTCGTAAGAATAAAACTGTTTGGGTAACGGATGGATAGATGGATGGATGGATGGATGGAATACTTAACAACCAAAATATTCGATAGAAGGCACTTGAACATCATTTTCGATGGCAGATTGCTATTAACAAAAATCTGCATGAATCATTCTTATTCATGTTATTGTAAAGACATTTTTTGACTTGAGTTCCCCTTCATGTAATGAAATGCAGGTGTCATTTGTGACATCTTATGGCGTTTTTCAGCAGAATAGGTTCCCAAACAAAACCCACAAGTAAGTGACTTTGCGAGCAGCCAACTGTGAATTGATGGGGTTGGGCGATATATAGTGCCTTCAAAAGTGTTCTTAAATTGACAGTCTAGCCATTCCTGAGTTTAACCTGCAGTCTATTTATCTGACAAGAGGAAAATCCTTCTTGCGTGATATATCCCTCACGGTCCTCCGCCCCGTATATCGCCTGCAGACACGAATCGGGTCTCTGCAGCGTGTGATCATATTCCTCCAATGACTTGACAGAGAATGAGATTTGGCAAATTGGAATATGCAGGGAGGAAGTGCATCATTATCATCACACGCGGCTGTGCTGTAAAACTTCCATTCACAAGTCGAGGGAAGGCAGCATGATGACAAACTGAGTCCTGAAATGTAGCGGCAGCTACTTTTCTGCAGCAGGAACTAACGGCTCTTTCAATCAAATCAAACGAATTAAGATGAATTGTATGAGTGGATAGTTGGCAACCTACTTGGCAAATGACGCCGTAATTACAGACGGCGGCATGAATGGTGACATGGCACCCATCTGAACTGGCACGAGCAGCGTGCACCCGATCGTGTCATGCCCACATCACCCCACTTTCATGCCAACCCCACTTCAGCTCCCATCTTTGCGTTTCACAGAGTTCAGGTGCAAATCCGTTTTGCAAATGACATCAGATGCATGAATCCCACACAAAATTATAAGTCAAATTCAATTCAAATTCAAAACAACCAATTCTTGCAACAGCAAAAAAAAAAAAAATGACTAATGATAATTCTATTCCCTCAAGAGCAATTACGACAGATTGGATTTTTAATGCTTCCTAACTTTTTCCTGTTGCGCCAGCGTGTGGCATTATACGCAGTGTGAATGCTGTTACGTAAAATTAGAAAGCCGTGCACTGAAATTATTGTGCGTTTCAATGTGCTTCTTATGAGCACATTATTTTTTTAATGTATTATTCCAGCAGGCTAATGGAGGGCGGGGAGTGGTGTGATGTTGTCATCCTGAAACAAACTCACCCCAACAACAGCCAGACTTCATATTTCCCCAACTGATACATTTTTTTAAGTGTGGGTGAAACATACAGTACAGCGCAGACCAAAAAAAAAGTGCGATTTTCTCAAATTATTTTATAAATCGTCAAGCTATGCTAAGCAAATGGCTGGCATATCTTGGTTTATTACCTTTGTAAGCTTATGTTATACTATTAATTATTATAATTTTATGTTTGAGCATCGATTTATTTCATGTTAAGATGACCTAAATTACATTGTGTCGTTTAATAATTGCTTAAACATGTTTTTTATGTTGATAGCTTCTGATTGGCTGAAGAAAAGCAAAGCAGGAAGTGATTCATTTGCCGAGAAGGTGTTTTTTTGTTTTTTTTTTTTAATGAATCTTTATTCGAACAAGTCATAGTACAATTCTCAATAAACAGAAAACAAAATGAACATGTTATTAATACATATACATATTACAAACATTTAAACAAAAAAAGAAGCCAGGGGATTTTAAACAAAATTTTCAAATAAGGAGCATACAGTTGCCGAGAAGGTGCGTTTTCGATCGTAACTACGGTGCAGACGATTTGGAAATAAAGCTGCGTTCAAGCGGAGTCCATCTCTCCTTTTGCCGTTTCTTAAAGTAGAGATACCCATTCATAAATAACAAACCCCTCAACTTACACCTTTCTTCTTCTTTTAGAGTTATTTCAACAATGTTGCCTTCTCCTTAACAGCGAAGCAAGAAGTTACTGTTCGGGCTCAGTCTAATGATCAGAGATTGGAGTGATGTGATGTGAAATGTTGGACAACACGGTGGGGTCCAATCCAATTCCTGGTGGAGGACCCCCCCCTGGAGACGGGAATGTTATTTGTGTGAGCCTCAGGCTGCTGCTGGAGCTGTCAAGTCAATACTGATGCATGAGGAAGTCATTTGTCAAGGAGGGATATTGTTAGTAAAAAACATTGCATTGGGACACATGTACCAAATAGTGGTCAGTGTTTCGTAACGAAGAAACTAATAAATAATAATGTGATATTGCTTTCACTTTTGAGGTTTACTTTGTGATGGCAAATACACATTTGACAACCTGGTAGGTAACACTCGAAATGCTGAGCTGTTATTGTATTAAACGCAAAGCAACGCGCATGACTATAAATATCAGGTTATGTTTTTTTTGGGCCAAATTGAAACAAGATATGCGAGAGCCTTAAGGTGAAAGTTAAAGGTTACCCTCGATGGGAACACCAACACACAGCGAGTCATAATAATCTTACGCCCGTGAGGGGAAGAGATTGAGTTCTCTGTAGATTCACATATGCAAATTTAATCAGCACATGAGTAGGAAAATTTTGCTATTTTTTGTCGGTCATGAGAAGCACATCACATTAATTTCAAGAGCTACACGTGAAGTTCCCTCAACCTTGATAAACGCGTGTGTCAGCGGAGCCACGGTGAGGCTGCACACATGAAAGCTCAGCGGCGCCATCTGCTGGTGGAAAACGGTTATGCGGCTTGGCGATGATAAATGTTTTGCGGAGTTGCTTGCATTGTAGTTTCTCCAATTTTTGTGTTTATCCCCGCTTTCAAAGACATGAGAGGACAAAAGGACAAAGCAGTGGCAGACCGTGTATAATTTCCCCCCAAAAAAGCATAAGAACAGCATACAATGGTGCCACGTACAGTTCAGAGAATCAATATTCCTCTAGTAATTCAAGACACGTGCTTCAATGAAATACAACAAACCCAGCAGATGCTGATGATTGAATATATTGTTTGTACAGATGTTTTGTTCGACGAATTTGGCCGGGACACGTTTTGGTCTGACCAAACAATGATGATGTCAGTGCTGGCCAGCTGAGAGGAAGAATTTGAAATCTGATTGGTTCAAGAAACTGTCCCATTGCTAATATAGTCGTTGCTCGCGCCAATGCTACTGATTCTGAAGGCCGCGGGGAGAGATCGATTGGATATGCGGAGGAACGCCGCATCATTATTTGAAATGTATGTTATGCATTTACTTTAATCTAACCAATGTTTTTTTTTTTTTTTTTCCTATACAGCAAATGTCAAATTCCGAGTGTTTCTTAATGGCGGGGTCCAACTAAGCCCATAACTATGGAAGAGGAGCATGCCCAGAATGCCACAGGAAACAGCAGTACAATGGGCATCCAACTGGTCACGCACAGTCTCTGGGAGGTGGTCACCATAGCGACCGTGTCGGCCATTGTCAGCCTCATCACCATAGTGGGGAACATCCTGGTGATGCTCTCCTTTAAAGTCAACAGCCAACTAAAGACGGTGAACAATTACTACCTGCTGAGTCTGGCGGCGGCGGACCTCATCATCGGCGTCTTCTCGATGAACCTGTACACCTCCTACATCCTGATGGGTTACTGGGCCCTGGGAAACCTGTCCTGTGACCTGTGGTTGGCCGTGGACTATGTAGCCAGTAACGCCTCGGTCATGAACCTGCTGGCGATCAGTTTCGACCGATACTTCTCGATCACCAGGCCTCTCACCTACAGAGCCAAACGGACTCCCAAGCGGGCAGGCATCATGATCGGTTTGGCCTGGCTGGTGTCTCTCGTTTTGTGGGCACCGCCGATCCTGTGCTGGCAATACTTTGTGGGCAAAAGAACCGTCCCGGAAAGACAATGCCAGATACAGTTTTTCTCAGAACCCATTATAACGTTTGGAACAGCGATTGCGGCGTTTTATATCCCCGTGTCAGTCATGACCATGCTCTACTGCCGGATCTACAAAGAGACAGAAAAAAGGACCAAGGATTTAGCGGAGCTTCAGGGAATGAACCAAGCCGCACAACCCGACGTCACCCAGCCTCGGATTATCCGGTCGTGTTTTAGCTGTAAACTAAAATCGCCGTCACATGACCGCGCTACAGCCTCATCGTCATCCTCATGCAGGAGCCACGTTGCCAAATCCATCGCCTCCACCAACGTGGAGTGTTCCAAAACGGGTCACCCGACCACCTACAACAGCTATGCGTCCTCAGAAGACGAAGACAGGTCCGTGTCCCCCGGGGCCTTGCAGCCCCACTTCGGGAAGCAAGTTTGCGAGGGCAGCAAGAGCGCGGCGGGGAGCAAGAGCGAACAGCTCAGCAGTTACGACGAAGACAGCTTCTTCCAAACGCCACCCAAAAGCAACTCCCAGAGGAGTAGCAAGCGCGTGTCGTACAAGTTCAAGCCGGCGGCCAGAGACACCCTGGCTCCGCACCAGAGCGAAAACGGCGACACCAAAACCGCCTTCTCCTCGGCAGAGTCAGTGAGCCCTCCCGCCGCCTCTTCTCCGTCCAAGGATGTCACGCTGAAGAACCAGATAACAAAGAGGAAGCGGATGGTGCTGATCAAAGAGAGGAAGGCGGCTCAGACCCTCAGCGCCATCCTCCTGGCCTTCATCTTAACGTGGACGCCGTATAACATCATGGTGCTCATTTCCACCTTCTGCTCGGACTGCATCCCCGTCTCCCTGTGGCACCTCGGCTACTGGCTGTGCTACGTCAACAGCACCGTCAACCCCATGTGCTACGCCCTCTGCAACAAGACTTTTCAAAAGACCTTCCGCATGCTTCTATTATGCCAATGGAAGAAGAAGCGCATTGAGGAAAAACTCTACTGGTATGGACAAAACCCAACGGCGGCCTCCAAACTTACTTGAACTCTTTTTCGGCGGTTCAAAAAGCTATTCAAGTTGATCTTCTATGGCAGTTGGTCGCCCCCAATTATACCAGACTGGGGCGGGACAATCTCAAACGCGTAAAGTTTACCCGTATAGGTCAGAAGGAAAAATGTATGCGGTTCATAAAGTAAAACTGCATCCAAACGTGTTTTTGGTTCCACTGGTTGTTTTCAAGCGAGCTTATAATAGGCCAAAGAACGAAATAACCAAAACTGTCCAACTCTGGCTGAGATAATGGCAGAAAAAGTAGCCGGATATAACTCAGTGTCCAATGGCAACGGTGGACACACACACACACACACACACACACACACACACACACACACACACACACACACACACACACACACACACACAAAATGTTGCTGTCAGCATGCTAACTACACACAAAACGGAAAGGTGAAAATGTTTTCCAAAACTTTTTCGATATCATTTTAGAAAGTCAAACCACTCTGATTTCAGCCTCTCAAATGCGAATACGTTCTGATTTGTTGATCAACAGGAGCATCTGTGGACATCATCTCGAACTGAAAACTTTTTTTGCCTGTTTTCTGACCATTCTCAGCCGTGAGGCCCAACCAAAAACTCATCACAAAAAGATCAATAATCCCCAAATTGATCATTTTCAAAACAATGTGTTTCAGACACTTGAGGTATCATTTTCCGTCACTACCCAAAGATGGGACCAGCTCATTCAAGAAAAACAAGCACAGAGCGACCACTAATTCAATTGTTAATTTTTTTAGACTATACATTTACCTTATGCGAAGTAATGTTTTTAGTTTTGATTATTTGCTATCTGTGAAAGCAGTGCTTTACATGACATCAGTCTGTGACGCAAAAAAAAAACAAAAAAAAACTCGGACCACTTTTCTATGCTGTACAATATGTTCAAATCAAGAAGTGTTTTTTTGTTTTTTTTAATTGTTGTCTCTAGCTTTAAAACAAACGCTGATACTTGCATGCAGAAAATGTAACAATTGAAACACATTTCACACTGGGCCATGTTTGTATTCAAGATGCATATTTTGGAACGCAAAGCTTTCGGTCCTGATTACTCATATGAACCCTTTGAAATTCTCAACAGTAAATGTTACGGGAACATGTATTTGCCACATTAATAGGCTGGTCACGCTTCCAATGCGAAAGACTGCAAATTCAGTTCAATCACCACCTGATCTCACGTGGCATTTGCCAATCATTATTTTAATGTCAACATTTGCATTTTCCACCTGAAGGCTGCTAATCGCCATTGAACATTTCACAGACATCCACATTACAATATTCGAAAGCCAAAAGTAAATTTTCTTGCTGACTTTTAAGTTAGGGTAAGTTTTCAAAATGTGAAATGGCTGCAAGCCTCACCCACAATGTTACGTTACAGCTGTAATTGTGGCTACAAGAAGGGACTTCGTTTTTTTTCTTTTTATATATACAACATCAGATTCATGTTCCCGCGTTCACATAATTTAACTCATGATTAAATAATCCTACATTAAAAACATACTGTAACTGTAACTATGTAAAAAGTCTTTAAAAGGTCTCCGTGACGTTTCGAGAGAGAAGTATTTTTCATACTAGCCGCCAGGGGGAGCTTTTTCCCGCCGCTGTTCTGTCTGAACTGGTGCACTGATACAAAAAAATGGGGGAACGGTGGGGGTAAGTTGTTTTTCTGTTTCGTAGTTAGTATCAGGGAAATTTCAGAGGCAGGATGGCGTCTGTGTGAAAGGGGACAGCGCGAAGACCGGTTGGGTTGAAAGTCAGTCGAGCTTTTAATTATTGTGCTATTGTTTACAAGCACCGGCAGGTGTGGCAGCGTCCTGCTTTGCTGGGCACCATTAAACCTTAGTGCGCTTCGTCTTCACGATATTTATACAACAGCACTTCCATATGCCTTTCTGAAATAAAGTCATCATCATCAAGTCGCGATTTCTAAATAGTTCTTTTTCAAAACACAGTCGCAAAGCCAATATTTTTCTCTTTTTGGAAATATTTTTTTTTTCAACCAGGAAGTGAAATGTGTGCATTTCAAATGTTTCGTGATGTTATGTATAAGGAAAACTAAGCTGGTTGTTTTTAAATTTTTTATTGTTTTATTTGTTGCTGCTATGCTTCTGTATTTTAGAAACTGTGTTCATGCTTTTTCAAATAAATATCCATGTGCTGCAGATTTTTTGGGGACTTGATGTCTTATGCATAGCTGTTAATCTTTAGTTCCCAGTAACCGACTTAGCTTGAGTATTTATTTTTATTTCAATATTTGAATTCAGATTACTGTAGATTTCTGTTCTTTCTACTTCTCATTTTTTTTCAAAATAGACTTGTTATTTTTTTCACCCCTTGCGGTTGACGACGCAATGTAAATAGAGACGTGAAGTCAACCGCGGTTGAACTACAAAGCGGAACGTGAACCGGGGAGCATGAACAACGATGATGCGACTAACTTGGAAAAGCAAGCTATTCCCCATCCATGGCCAGAATAACGAGAAGCTTTTTTTTTTTTCCCCTAATGTTGTCAGCGACAAGAATGATTGATGGCAAGCGTGTTATCTTGTGCGAGCTAGTTGACAGGTATTCATTTTTACTATTTCATTTGTACATTTCTGAGTCTCTAATTGTTTTACTTTGACCTTCATAAAGCGATGAATCATACCAGTCTTTTCTACCCAAGTGCCTGTACATTTACGTATGGACAGAGTGCGAGAATTTTTGCCACCTCTGCTTGACAGTTGCTCGGCGCCACCTTGTATCTCGTGCTAAAAATGTCCTCATAGCTCATCCTTTTTACAGTCGCTGCAATGAACGGGTTTAACAGTTTCTGACGGTTTCACCATCATCCATGCGTACTTGCACAGTCGCTCCTTGTTGCAGTCCTTTTGCCAATAGATGACATTCCTGCGGTTGAGATTAGCACCAGCGCAGGCGTCGTACCACCAACCTCCACCGGCTACCCCCTGAAACTCCAACTTGGCACAGTTCTGGAAGTAGTTATCGTTGTCTCTGTCCTTGGTGGTGAATTTCTGATTATCGTGCAGGTAGTGCTCGGTGTGCTGCATGAGGGCGTCCCCGGCCGTGCCCTGGAACAAACCCAGCCTCAGCCTGTACGCCGATGATTCGTCCTCCACCAGGAAAGGGTCATACTCTCCCGTTTTTGTCACGGCGTCACGGTCCACAAGTTTTACTCCCAGCTTATAGCGTGCTGGGCCTGCGCTGAGCTGGTGAAGATATTCATTCCCCAGCCAGTGATCCCCAGTGACGTACCCAAAACCATGCTTGTAGTCGGCCCACGCTCGGTCAAAGCTGACGCTGCTGTTCACGGTGATGTGCTGCACGATGGTCCATCCTCCTTCCCGCATGGCGCAGTACACCACGATGGCGGAATCCCCCGGCCGGATCAGGTACACACCATCTCTGGCGTGACCCGAAGAGCTCAGGAGCATTTCATGACAATCTCTCGGTAGCACTGTGGGGACGAGCACAGCCGTTAAATTTGAAGGGAGGAAAAAAAAAATATATATATATTAATCATGACTGTTCTTTTAAGTTACATAGAGTTAAAAAAACTGCTTGCTTTATTCTGTTTATATTGAATACAAAGATTAACCACATATTATAGTCTCTCTTCTGTCTATAATTCAAAGCCATTCTGTGACATGGCATAATTTGCCACGTGTGTCACAGAACAGTGGTTGGGAATCACCCCGATAAGTTGAGAGATTTCCATATTTGGCATGTTTAATAAGCCAATCTATTTCTATTTGTCACCACCAGTGTGGGACAAATAAAGGATATCTTATCTTATCTTATCTTATCTTATTTTATTCTGTAAAACTGCTGACACAGCAGTGATGCAACGAGCTGAGTACACTGACGGCACATTGTCTCTTGGCCCCCAAAAAAACCCCAGCAAAACCTTGAACATTTGCCACAAGATTACAACAATTTGTTTGCCGTGCTTTTACCAAGGTACACAAATGATGTCAGAGGAAAATCATGAGTCACTAAGTCATTTAGGCCCCAAGTGTGGAATTTGACACATCGCACGTTAGAAGATTCCACCGATGATCAAGACAATTAGATGAAGCCTTGAAAAGTAATCACTGCCGCCATGTCAAACAAAGTGCACACACATGCTTATGATCAGATTTGGAAAGAATGACTTTCCTTCACGCCATATTTGGATTCATTTGAATTTTTTTTCTTCTTATTGCTGTTCAATCAAAGGACGTTCACATCTTTGCAATAACTTAGCACCTCGCTTTCACTTGATCGACCAAAACGGAATCTACCTCTCATTCCGTAGTTCATGACCACATGATGCTGATCAGCGGGGAGGAGATGCACGTTCTCCGCTCGGAGATGCTCCGCGTTGACTCCAAATAGACTCGGCAAGAGGAAAAGCATGAGCCGCACGAAGCAAACGTCAAATGTCATCATCTTCCTGCTGACACGTATTCGATGCATCGAGCACGAGTGACTTTTAAAAAAAAAACACGTAAAACCTCGCCACTGAAAAAAAAAGTCTTACCGACACTGGAGTCACCACAGTAAAAAAACAAAATGTCGGCAGATTTTTTCTCCCACAGTGCCGCTTTAATCAAGCACACATTAAAAAGCAATGGGCCGTCCCTTTTCAATCACGGCCGGACTTCGGCCTCAACGTCACCTCAACAATGGCAGACGACAACCCTTCCGCTTATCTGTGTCAAGTCAGATAAAGCCACATGTGAGTGGTAAAATGAGTCAGCTCGTATTTCTCGCCAACTCAAATCCCCCTCAAGTGCTTCTAAGGCTGAAGTCCAGCTCAGGCTGGACCCTTTAAAAGTTCAGCTCCTAATAAATGCCCGCTCAGCTCAAATGCGTTCAAGGTTAAAAAAAAAAAAAATCAAAGAAATCATCAGACCCCTTCCTGGAACCAACAATGTAATCAACACATTTAATGGTCACCGCTAGACAGCAACGCGTCAACAAACATGCCGTACGGAACTTCTCTCGTCTTGCCTGGACGACAGAATAGTAAATCACTTTCAGTTTAGAATTACATGAGACCGCTGCGCATTTTCAGAACCTCAAGGGATGGATTTGTACTTGAGGAAAGTTTGTTTTCTGGCTCTTCATTCATGGAAAGTAAGTTGAGACAGGAAGACATCAATGACCTGTTGGGAAAATATGATATACGATCAGGGAAACTTTCTGGTTTTTAGACAGCATCGCGGTGATACGTGCACCTTTGACCTTTGCCACGTCTCCCGCAGCTCCGGGAAAAGACTTCAGCTTTGGCTCCCGATGCCATAACTCCAGCAACTGCTGATTAAAGACGGGGAAGTTTCTGCAACACGGATGAACCGGACCGTGAACGCAAACGTGGTAAGAAATGCGCTTTGCTTGACGTTTGTTGGATCGTTAGCTTACCGAAATAAGTGCGAAAACACCTACCTATCCAAATAAGCCTCAGTGGATCCAGTGCACCCACTTGCTTTCAGAGGTTCCCGCCAGCGTTTCAAAACCGAATGGATCCACGTTAAACCAACGATGACATATCTAAGCGGACCGAGACGACTCAACTTATACGCGGTCGCGGTCGAGTGTGACGGCAGCTCACGACGAGATTGAAACTCACCCTTCGTAAGGACTGATGAGGACCTTGTGCACCAATGGGAACAGGTCCACGCAACAGCCGATGGTGATGTCGGAGGAGTCGTGATCCAAGCTGCGGAGAACATTGGACTAGACCAGGGGTCGGCAACCCAACATGTTGAAAGAGCCATATTGGACCAAAAACACTAAAAACAAATATGTCGGGAGACGCGAAAAATAAAAGCCTTAGATAAGCCTTGTAATGGAGGCAACACATGCTGTATGTATCTATATTAGCAGACTATCAAACTAAGTTGGCTACAAATACACAATGATGCTACCGCATGTTACCGCAAACGCGCGCATACGCACGCACTTACACGCGCATGCCATAAAGAGCAACAGCCATAACGGCCGCTATGATGAACGAGGCATGGGACGCACTTTTCCACTGAATCTTTTTCCATCTTCAAACATTTTTGAAAAAGCTCCAGGGAGCCACTAGGGCGGCGCTAAAGAGCCGCATGCGGCTCTGGCGCCGCAGGTTGCCGACCCCCTGACTAGACTCACATTGATTTCACTCGTAGTCAGTAACGCTGTCGCTGTTATGAGCTTACCATCTGCTGATGAGAGGGAGCATGTCAACAAAGACACCGGTGTCTTGGATTCTGTGGAGCGCAGATGAATCATGAGTTAAAGTGAACGAAAGCGTCAAAGTACTTCATGATGATGGATTGTCTCACTTGTATTACAGGTGGTCTACTAAATCAATGAAGCACTGTACAGTACCTCTGGAAGTATGTTATCAACTCTCCAAAATGTCTTTTCCATAGTGATAAGGCCACTTTAAGTCTCAGGTTTCTTCCAAGGAGCACTTCGGTGATTGTGCTGTGGTCCCTTGTGAGCTGAAAAAAAAAAAAAATCAGACAAAGCTACAATGATTCCGAATAATCGACCATGACATAAGGTGACTTTTATTTCTGACCTCAGCAAGTTTCGAATACTCATCGTGTTGAAAAGCAGTCCTTCCCGTCATGTGGTTGCCGTCTGGCATCAACACCTGAGGGTCCGTGTCAAACATCTCCTGCCTCTTGTTGTCTTTGTTTGCCGCATCATGCGTCCTGCCTGAACCTTGGGGCTTTTTCCGAGCCATCACCAAATGACGCGTCTTCCTCTTGTAAGACACGACTCGCTTGACTCTGCCCGGATTGTTGCCGGAGTGACTGACGGGACACATGACAAGCGGGAGGGCGCGGGGGGACTATTCAGTCAATCTATCAACAAAGTGACATCGTTCACTTGTGGTGATCATAAAGGCCACACCTCTTCTTGTTGGACTCCTCCTTTTTAGCACCATCTGTCTGAAACCGTAAAAATAAATACTTGAAACATAGGACTTGAGTGAGGACAAAAATGCAGAGTTACCTTGTTATCCGCACGAGCAGACTCAATCTCCAGGGTCGCTTCACGATGTTGGTCTTCCAAATCTTCCAAATTGGAGTCCATTATACCTTGAGAAACAGATGCATTCATGATAACTGCCTCTAAAGTGTGTAGTTTGCCTGTTCTTCCGGTGCATGCATGAGTTTACTTCTCAGGGTACTCTGGCTTCCTCCCACACTTCAAAAAGATTCCTTTTCGTTTCATTGAAGACTCGAAATTGTCCATAGGTGTGAATGTGAATGGTTATATTGGGATTGGCTGACAATTGCTCCTGTTACTACTGGTACCCAACCACTCACCCAAAAACAGTGAGGCTCCAGCTTACGCGTGAGAAAATTGATAGATTGACTTTTTACTTGTGGTTATGTAAAAAAAAAAAAAAAAAAAAAAAATCAGTCTACCCGCCCCTCGTTCAAATTAACGAAAATCATGTTTGACTACCTGTGCCAAAATTTAGACATGGTTTCAGCAGGGGTAAAATTTAGACATTTTTCTGCCACCATAATATAAAGAAAGAACATTTTTAAAATATCGCGTTTCCATTCGGTTCGATATGGTTGTGTTTTTTTAACATGCAACAACATGTAAAAGCTCTCCAAGGCCCAAACTACATTATCACCGTTACATTTGCTTTCGGGAGGCTCGGCCTATGACACGCCTGAGATTGTCTCTTCCTAATATCGTGTATTCAAATAAGACATTTGCCCACTAAAGACTCCTGACAGCAAATTTCCTTCAACGCGTAAATACTTTCAACTCCACTCTGATCTTCGACCAACGCCGCAGTGACAGATGAGATAAACTGACCTGTTCTGTTCCCAACGGCATTCCACTATTTATTATCTTTGGGTGTCCGGGCCCTCGGCTGTGGGTAAGGCCGACATCATTTGTGGCATTTTTGTGAAATGCCATAAGCCTGCGGTGAAAGGTGAGACTTGGGGTCATGCCGCCGCAAACATTTCAGGAATAAAATAACATTTGAAAAACCACACATTTCGAGTCCCGACATCGCAGACGCTGATCGGAAAACCTTGCAGCTGCCATCTGTGATATTTCGAGGGGTTTATTTTTCAGATTATTTTTCTTCAAATAAGCTTTATTAATGCAAATGCCGACAGAATGTTAATAGAATCAGCAAAAAAATAATGACCGTGAACCATTCGAGCTGTGTTTTCATTTGGAGCTGGAATGTATTAAAAGCAATAAAAGCACAGACCACCACCGGGGATGGACAGTCCTAATTTGGATAAATTGTGCATATTGTAATGTTAATCTCTCATTTCATCCGATCATATATCCAGTTCTGTGCCATGCCAGACACTGAAAGGTGCCTGGAAATTGCATAACCCTTATGAGACACTTGACAAAATGACAGGTTGTTAAATCATTGCCCTTTTTAACTTATATTTTTCAATAATTGTTGGTTTAATTTCAAACTGTCAGGATGCAGTCAGAGTGCCTCGTCGTTGTGGGTTTTCTCCCACATTCTAAAAAATATGCACGTTAGGTCAATTCGGAATTTCCCGATGGCCACCACCCCCCCAGGCAGGGATGAGATTCACCGTTTCAGATTTTATATATATATAGATATTTTGTTTTTTCTTAGTACCTTTTCATTTTTATCCATCTGTTCTCTACCGCTTATCCGGGGGTCAAGTCTTGGGAGCAACAGCTTAAGCAGGGAAGCCCAGACTTCCCTCTCCCCAGCCACTTCTTCCAGCTCTTCCCAAGGGATCCCGAGACATTCCCATGCCAGCTGGGAGACATAGTCTCTCCAGGATGTCCTGGTTCTTCCCAGGGGCCTCCTGCCAGTGGGACATGCCCGGAACACCTCACCAGGGGAGGCGTCCGGGAAGCATCCTAATCAGATGCCTGAGCCACTTCATCCGGCTCCTCTCGACGTGGAGGAGAAGTGGCTCGACTCTGACCCCCTCCCGGATGGCCGAGCTTCTCACCTTATCTCTAAGGCTGTGAGGGTGTGACAAATCGTACCGGTAAATGATTCCATAAAATCTACGGCGGCTCTCCTTGCTGCTTCCCAACACTAGAAGCCAAACTTCCTACCATGTAACCAGGTTGCCGTCGATGTTTATATGTCTGGCCTTGCCAACTGCACTAACGCGGTTTTACGGAGAAACCACTAACAGTAGTCTCTTGTTCTTGGCACCACATCCCGACATCAAGAAAAACGTCCCCGCGTTAGACCTAACAGACTTCTCCATCCTTCAATGTGAGTTTTGTTCTGCGGTGTTGAAAGGCCAAAAAAAGTAGCAGGCCTCTTGTTTTTCTGCCCCCATCCTTGCTCCGTGTTGCGCTATTGCTAAACTTCTTTTTCCAAGCTTTAAGCCTGACGGGTAAAAAGGCAATTTAAACAGGACTGACCACAGAATGTTTCAGTCAGCATTCCTGCAGGATGAGCGAAACGGGAGAATATGCTCAGGCCCCAATCAAGACGCTCTTTGTTCACCGGGCACATTGTGTGGTTTAATCAGTCCAAGAATGGCACTGTCGCTGGGCAAAAACCAAGTCCTGTGATTAGAGTTACTTGTGCTTCCTAAAGAATACAACATCAGGATTAAGCGGGCATTTAGGGGACTCCGAAGCTCATCGGATGATGAAAGGGAGAAAGTGACGTGGTGGGGAATGTCTCACGGGGACAGTTTAAGACTCAGCTCATCCACATTGAATGTGATGTCCAGGCGATTTCGATCTTTCATTTTATTTTAATGGCAAAGCAAGCAAATGGGAACAAGCGATTGGTTACAGATCGGAGCATGACGCATATGTCAAGCAGAACTCCCACAGTATGGATTACACAAATATACTGTACATTGATTATAGAGAAAACATTTCCACAGATTTAAACCCTTGTGGTGAACTTATTGTGTGATTAGTCCTTGACGAGGACGCACGGGATTGGTTTTGATTCGAAGAGATTTCGTTGATTTATCCATCCATCACTTTTCGATACCACTTATTGTCTTTGCGGTTGCGAGTGAGCTGGATTCCATCCCAGTTGACTTTGGGCGAGAGGCGGGGTACACCCTGGACTGGTCGCCAGCCAGCGGCAGTTCATCGATCGTGTTTACTTTGAAACTGTTGGCACGCACACGAATGGCTTTTATTACACTTTCTAACCACCAGAGGGCAGCATGAATCCATGTGTGAAAACGGACCCGCTTCGGTTTTGAATATTCATTGAGCTTGAGCGCGTCAACAATAGCACAGACAGACCTGTATGTTTTTTCCCTTATATACTAAATGAATTTAAAAAAAAACACCCTAATTGACATTTTTTTTCACCTTTGAATCTAATTCGCCAAGACACAAAATGAAGTATTTAAAAATGTGTTTCTTTTGTACAAGTTCTACACAGGTTTGTTTTTTTGGGGGGGGGGGTACGCTGAGGCTGTGTTGGATCAAATTTGACCCCTGTCGACTGAAAAGGATTTTGTATTCGCTGGTGTGTTAAATCAATAATATAATGGCCATGGTGGGGATCTTGAAACTGTACATGCAACTAATGTTATTGTGAGGATATTCTTGGCCAAAGTCAATGTGTGAATGGAAAATGCACAGTTTGTACCTATGAGGCAATTCAACTGTATACCTCAAAACCGTGTCTTCACAGAAACAACATGACTAATTAGTTATTTCCTTGTTTTTGTTTTGTCTCTCGTACAAGATTTGCTGTTTTCTGGTGACACCGAATTCTGCATCTTTTTATGAAGTGCTTGTTGTGTATGCGTGGCTGAGCAACTCCATTTCGTGTCAATCTTACATAACATTACGTAAAACGATCCTCCCCGGCAGCAAATTAATGACCCATGTAGAAGAAGAAATCCTGCTGTCTTCAAGATGGATTAAAAAAAAAAAAAAAAACCTCAACGCAATAGGTAAATGGGCATCGGGGGGAGCTTTCCATGAAATATTTCCAGGTGTCTTTTTTGGACATCTTTTCCCAATTCCATTCTGCATATCCCTTGGCTTTTAAAGGACAAATTTTCTCTTGCCTGCAAAGAACCGAAGAACATCTGTATCAACTAGGTAGCTCATGGTGCATCCTTGATGGCAATAACTTTACATTAGCGGCACTTAAAATGGTCATGGATCGTAAGGGGTGTATTTAAAGGCCTCCTCTGTCGAGTGACAAGTGTTTCAAATAGATCCAACTCAGCTGTATGGCCTCTAATGACTCATCTCAACTTCAGCCCAGGCTCCCCCAAGGTGCCCCAGTTTTGCAAAATGTGGCTCCAGACATCGACCGCAATGACAGCAACTGCAGTCAACTCTGATCTTGCAGCTCCCCTCTGAAAAACCAATGGGTGTTGTCAAGGAATCAGTGTCCATTCGAACTCCTTTAATTTAGGGGATGCAGCTGATGGCCTGGCTACAGATATAGCGATTCCATTTTTTTTTCCCCCAAACAGGCACTTCTTTGAAAGTTCAAAGAAGACATTACCAACACAAATTAATGGTCATGATGCTGAGGGATGTAATGTATATTTCCATACATTCCTGACTCCACTGGTAAAGCTGACATACAGTACTGTCCCCAAATTGAAAATTATGGAGTTGGTGAAAAGAATCTTCACATGGAAAACACCACATTTGAGTCTTTTGAGATAATTGCCAATGACTGTTTTACATTTTGTTTAAAAACAACAAAAACTGATGGTCAAGACAAAGGTACTTATTTTTCATCCATCCATTTTTTGATCAGGGGGGTGCTGGAGCCTATCCCAGCTGTCTTCGCGCGGTAGGCAAGGGACACCCTGAACCTGTTGCTGAGATAATTGCCAATGACTGTTTTACATTTTGTTTATAAACAACAAAAACTGATGGTAAAGAAAAAGGTACTTATTTTTCATCCATCCATTTTTTGATCAGGGGGGTGCTGGAGCCTATCCCAGCTGTCTTCGCGCGGTAGGCAAGGGACACCCTGAACCTGTTGCTAGCCACTCGCAGGGCACACAGAGACAAACAACCATCCGCGCTCATACTCACACCAAGGGACAATTTAGAGTGTTCAATTAGCCTGCCATGCATGTTTTTGGAATGTGGGAGGAAACCGGAGTACCCGGAGAAAACCCAACACCGGCCCGGGGAGAACACGCAAGCTCCACACAGCAAGGTCGGTGCCGGGATCGAACCCGCAACCTCTGCACTGTGAGGTCGGCGCACTAACCAGTGCATCGTTTTCCAATTGTCTATTTTATAGACAGCTTCGGACTCGCTCATCTGCTGTTCAGAATAGCAATTAGCCTGATTTGCTTTCACTATTTTGATCGCTGCTAGCCTTAAAAGATTCCTGCGAATTTCTCCACTGTGAGACAAATAAAGTTTTTTTCTTGAGTTTGACTGTAGGACTTGCTGCGAGAAACAAGGGCAGGGGTGCTAATGAAGGCTCCATCTTTGTTGCCCAAAATGTTAAATCCAATAATGCGCGGTGAACAACTGTGTGATAATGAGACCACAACATGCCCCAACCAACATCCGGTATTATGCTATAAGCCTGGAGAAACTTTTTTTTTTTTTAATTAGATCGGTAGCCTCTATTTATATCATACTTATGATGAAATATAAAGTATCCTTACGTGAAACCAGTCAGTGGCGTAAAAAAAAAAAAATAATAATAATAATAATTTTTAAAAAATTTAAAATTCAGGACCCCCCTGTTGTGCTGAAAATTTTTCAATGACGATTGATTAATTGACTCGGACTCAACTTTAAGCACGTTACAGTCGACTGCAAAACATTTTTGTCCTTCAACCCTTCTTGTTCACAAGATACCTGCAGTAGAAACAGGCCCTAAACGTTCCGGTAAGTGGTAGACATTTAATGAACTGTCAAGATGCAAGCAGATGAGTGCTGAACTTTGTGCCTTCTATCCGAGGGATGATACAAAGGAGCTATACATCTGCAGGGGTGACTCATTACCACCTACAGGAGTCCCCTCAGACAGGAAGATGTCTGCTTGTCAACTCCAAGACAGCTGCCCACTCCTACAAGAAGTCGCTGTGACTAAACAGCCACAGACCCGCTGGCCCCGAGCCTGGC